TGTAAGAGAACCATTGCTCTCAAATGAAGAGGTGGGATCTAAGGTAACCAGGGTAGGCGGTGTAGAAGTTGAAACCCCCAAAGGAAATTCAAGCGGATCAAGGTTAGCTGGCGTAGTGTAGCGGCTAACAGATGAGCAGTGCTAACCTATGCATTCAAATAGGACTTACTCCCAGGTAAATGTGCATACAGTTGCAGCATGCACGACAAATCAGGAAATCCCTTGTTTGAATCTTATCCCCTGGGTGAACTTCTCTGGGTGATTTTGGGAAACCATCTCAACTGCTTATCCTTGGAGCACTATAGAGAAGATAATGCAACTTACCTGCCCTACAGGCTTCTTAAGCCTTATAAGAAGATATGAAGTGCTTTGAACACTTGAGAGCACCATATAAGTGCTACATATTTTAAGCACATCAATGACGCTCTTCTGGAGCCACCTGCAGCGTGGATGTTATTGTTGTCACTCTGTACTCTATTTTTATGAGCCAGGATGTGTACTTGTCTTGTGGTTTTACTGTGCTCGTGACACTTTGTGTTGTTGTTACTGTGAGATGCTTTGAGATGTTGGGAAGGCGGCTGATAAAATTAACAGAACTTTAGGCTGCAACTCTGTGCATAGCAAAGTGCATTAAAATCAATGCACGCTTAATTTACATTGCATTGCGGCCACTGAGGTAAGGAGTCCTCCCTCCCTCCGAAAAAATGTTCCATCTTTGTCTTTAAACCTCTTGCTGCTTGTTCTATGAAAGCAGGATGAAGGATTGTTCATTCTTGTATTATGGTTGCGTTCTATACACAAGCGATCCCTGAAGCCCACTGGAAGTCTGGTGAATTGGTTTCCTTTGAGGTTTATTTATTCTCTTATGATGCATCCTTACATAAGTGGAAGGTGGTTTGGATGGTTATATATACATAAAAAGTTGAATCCATTTTATTTTTCACTCATCTCATGGTGCCAGAACTATCAGTCTAACAGCTCACCAGAATTGTCCTAGTGTCTGATTATTAGTTTACTTGACCACATTATTGTTGCAGTTATAGAAACACACGGTATAATGTCCTTTTACACTTTAATCATGCATTTCCTTTTTTTCTTTTTACAGTGGTAGACTAATCACTCTCTGCTATTTCCAAGAGAAAATTTTGATCGTATAAGCTAAGATGCAAAGAAGGACCAAAAATATCTTTATATGTTTTAGAGTCCTCAAGAGCTTCAAAACTCTTGTTGTTTGTTCTAGTGTGGAAAAAATACCTGCACTGTGGGGCAGATGGCTAGCAATTAACCCTCCCATTTGTTCCCTTTAAATGCCTGCATTCTCTTTCATTCTTAAAGAAAGGGCCAGAATTGAAATATACAAACCACAGAAAGCAATATACTGAGCCTAACTAAACTAAAATCAAACAGAAAGAAGCCCAGACAAGGCCCTTGTTCAGTGAAATCAATTCCCAAGGCAGTCTGATTGATTTATAAGCATACTTTTCGGTTTCATTGATTTAAGGATTCAGCTTGTTTGAAAGCAAGTCATGGAAGAGCTCTTACAACCCTGGCTTTCTATTCATCGGTGACCGTAATTAACAAGCACAGACAATGAGGAGGAGGGGGGCTGGAGGAGGTGTCCTCTCTTCTTCTTCTTCTTATAGTGCTAAATTCATTAAGGAGAGCTGACCTCATTCAAGGCACATTCCCATGTTTGGGATTAAGACAGATTTGGACAACAGAAATATTTGAGTTTAAACTAAAGCCACTAGCATTCTGCCCACTGCAATAAAGGCAGGGGTGGTCTCGGAATTGGTCGGATGGTGAGATTTTATTGGACCCAACAGTAGTTCAAAAGATGCAAACTTCTAAGTTACATTGAATCCCAAATCAGGTGGGGGAGAAAGGCTATTTCAGAGGACATCTCTATTTGGATATTTGCATCCATGATGGTTTTTGCAAAATAAAAGGTTTGCCTGTTTATTTTTTCTTGAAGTGCGTTGCGATAGAATAAGCATTACTTGTTGCAGGCAGGAATCTGCATCCTTAGAAGTATCAATTTATAATTCTCCAAATCATTACGTTATCTTTCAGGTAGCCGGCTTCAAACAGCAAAGAGAAGAGTCACAGTGGCGGACCTTGGGGTCTCTAATTTCAGCGGCGCCCTGTGCGACGCCCAAATCCGCCCCCCTCTCTTGCGCTCCGTTCTTAATGATAGTTGCGCTGCCCCCGAGGCTCTGCGCCCAGTGCACCCGAACTGATTGCGCTCCCCTAAATTTGCCTCCGAGAGCCAGTATAGTGTCAGGGGCTAAAGGTCTTTGCATGGAAACAGGTTCAAATCTCAGCTAAGCAACGGAGCTCACAGGTGTTGGGAAATGCACCTTTCCTAGCCTAGCCTACCTTACAAGGTCGTCGTGTGCTTAATATTGACTCCTGCTGAAAAATCCTACTGAACACAGTGAAATTTACTTCTGAGTAAAAACGCACGGGGTTTGAGCCGAGCGAGCACTTCTTTAGCAACCGACCCCCTCCCCCAGCCGCCCTTAGTACTATCTGCTTTTGCCGATCTCCTTCTCCTGTCTTTCTGCGCTGAAAAGAAGGCTGTTTGTGCGTGTGGAAGCAGGTTAATAATCAAGCAGTTTCCGTGCCCTTGCAAGTTTTAAAGGAAAGGAAAACGTTGCAGGATTTTTGCCCCGAGCAAACTCACAGCCGTCTCATGATATTTGAACAAGTGCTTTTCACAAAACAGCCTTAGAAAAACAAAACAACAAACACTGATCGCTACAAACGTTAGTCAAACCTACAGGAGGGGGTGGGAAATCACGAAACGAAATGAAATATCCAAATCTTAGATTTGCCCCATCATATTTCTAAAGGGGTGGTGGTGGTGGGGGGATGACAGCAGAGAGGGGAAGCCAGTTGCCTCCCTGGAGAACCCTGCAGAGTGACTCCTCTTCGCTGCATCCTCGGCGTGCGCGCGCCCACACACACACACGAAAAGGGTACTCTTATCTCTCGCTCCCTTGGGTACCACTCTCGTACATTTCGCCCGCTGGGCCCCGCCCCTTTCCTCCTCGCCGGGCCCCGCCCCTTCGGCTTGGAACGCGCTTCCCCGGGCTCCGATTGGCTGAAGCCCTGCCGTAGCTCGGGACCGGAGCCGCTGTGTCTCTAGCTCGCGTGCGGCCAGCAGTTTGCAGCAGCGGCAGCAGCAATAATAGCAGCAGCAGAAGCAGCAGCAGCAGCAGTGCGCGCCGGGTTGGTGGGGGGAGGAGGAGGTGGTGGAGGAAGGCAGAAGCCGGCGCTTGCAAAAGTCGGGCAGGGGGAGCGGGTAGTGAAATTTAAAATTTGGAAACAGAGAAGGAAGGGAAAAGGAAAGAAAAAAAAGGGGGAGAAGCGGCGGACCGAGGAGCTGACCCGCTGGAGAGCGATGCAAGCCACTGCGGTCTGGCTGGCCTCTGCAAAGGCGCCCGCAGCCCGCCTGGTGGAGCCGCGGATTGGCTTCCAGAGAACTTAACATTAAAGAGAGACAGAGAGAGAGAGGGGGGCAGCATCCACCAATTTAGCTCTTCTTTGCAAGGGATTCTTATATTTATTCTTCCACCTGGCTTCCTGCTCCACCGGAGCTCCAGAGTTGTCCCCCCGCTCCTCCTCCCCCTCCTCCCTCCACAGTTTGCAAAAGGACGATGAGGTTTGCAACCAAACTTTCCTCGCCTGCGCTTTGTTCCCGTTGGCGACTAGCGGCCCGGAGGATGCCGAACGCGAAATAATCATGGGGAGAGAGAAGAGGAGAAAGGAGAGTCTCCCCGGCGAAGGATTGCAACAGCGGCGCCTTTGATTCTTTCTCCCTCCCCCCCCGCCCTGCTTCGTGCCTCCCGCCCAGCGCAGAGCCGTCAGCGGTGGTTCCTTCTTCCTTTCTACCCCACCCCCGTTTAAACCACGGAATACCATCCACCAGCAGTTCCTCGTTTTGCACACCGAGGTGAGGAGGTGGGTACTGTGATCCAGGGTGCCCTCCCCCCCCCTTGCCTGTGTTTCCTCTCCCCCCCCCTTTAGTTTAGCCTGTAATTTGGGGATGACATTGCCTCCGCTTTCTCATCTAGTGCACGGAGGTGCTTCGGCGGCAGTTCTCTAAGAAGACGCTCTCTCTGCCTTCTGATTTTGCCGAGCTGACTCCTTCCCCACCCGCGCCTCCCAGGCCACCCCATCCGCCCGATCTTCCTTTCCCACCCAGGGCCAGTTTCGCTCGTGTGACATGACCGGACAAGGATTTTTGCCTCTGCTAGTGGCCCCTTCCTTACGGCCCCTCCTCCGCATGCCCTAGCCTTACTTTCCGCCTAGCCTCCCTCTCTGCATCCCGATTTCAGCCGCTCTTTATTACTGTCATTTTTCTAAAATAATAATCTCCGGATATCTGAACACCTTCGCCAAGCGGAGGCTTCCCCAGAGAGTCCGCGTTTTGCATAAAGGTCTGTACAATTTTGGGGGGGAAGGGAGTGGAAGTGAAGGAAAGGGGGGCAAGAAGAGAAAGAGATTTGCGCATGCCAGGTGCAAGTAAATTGAGGCGCCTCTCCAATATACAGACTGCACTTAGGATGTGTGTGTGTCTGTGATTCCCCCCCCCCCCCCAAAAAAAATTGAATATAGCTGTGCTGTAACTTAGAACTCTCCTTGACCTGGCTGAGTGGAAGATAAGGATTCAGTGTTTCTCTCCCCTCTTTAGGTGGTGTTGCTTATTCTAGGGACTGAGGCTGAAAGATTTGTGGCAGGGAAGCAAAAAGCAATTAGCTCTTAAAGTAACCACATCCAAAGTCTCCCCTTCCTTCTCCTGATTAACCCCCAGCCACCCACCCTGTCCAGCTCCCCTGCCTCTCCTTCTGATTCGCTCCTTTCTTTCTATCTATCGCTGAAACAAACCCCAAACTAGTAAGCCCGAATCCCTCCCTCTCTTCTCCAGCCGCAAAATCAACAGGCAACAAGAGGGAAGGGGAGGAGGAGGCAGTGGGTGCACTGAGCCGTGAGCTATGGATATTCTGTGCCCACTGCTCCGTTTGCTGCTCCTTCTCTTGTGGACTCGGGCTGGAGCCCTGATCAACCTGAAGTACTCAGTGGAGGAGGAGCAGAGAGCCGGCACCGTCATCGCCAACATCGCCAAAGATGCCCGAGACGCAGGCTTTGTGCTGGATCCCCGGCAGCCCACCGCTTTCCGCGTGGTCTCCAACTCTGCACCACACCTGGTGGACATCAACCCTGGCTCGGGGTTACTGGTCACCAAACAAAAGATTGACCGGGACCTACTTTGCAGGCAGAGTCTAAAGTGCGTGATCTCATTGGAGGTCATGTCCAGCTCCATGGAGATCTGTGTGATCAAGCTGGAGATCAAAGACCTAAACGACAACGCACCCAGCTTCCCCACAGACCAAATCGCACTGGAGATCTCTGAGGCTGCCAGCCCGGGGACCAGGGTACCATTGGAGAGTGCCTACGATCCGGACTCGGGCAGCTTTGGGGTGCAGAGCTATGAGATCACGCCCAATGACCTCTTCGGCTTGGAGACCAAGGTGCGTGGAGATGGTTCCCGCTTTGCTGAGCTGGTGGTCGAGAAGAGCCTGGATCGTGAGACTCAATCTCATTACAGTTACATGATCACAGCTTTGGATGGGGGTGACCCACCCAACTTTGGCACTGTGGAGTTGAACATCAGGGTCCTTGACTCAAATGACAACAACCCTCTCTTTGAAGAGCCCGCCTACACAGTGAGCGTGCCAGAGAACGCTCCCCCTGGCACGCCTGTCATCCGCCTCAATGCCACAGACCCTGATGAGGGCACCAATGGGCAAGTGTTGTATTCCATTCACAGCTTTGTGTCTGAGAAGGCCAGGGATCTCTTTCAAATCAACCCCCAGACAGGCCTGATCACGGTCAGTGGTGCAATTGACTATGAGGAAGGCCATGCCTATGAACTGGATGTGCAGGCCAAAGATCTTGGCCCCAGTTCCATCCCTGCGCATTGCAAGGTGACTGTCACTGTGCAGGATGCTAACGACAACCCCCCTCTCATTAACTTGCTCTCTGTCAACAGCGAGTTGGTTGAGGTCAGTGAGAATGCGCCTCCAGGCTACGTTATTGCCTTGGTGAGAGTATCTGACCGGGACTCTGGTGCCAATGGCCGGGTGCAGTGCAAACTGTTGGGCAGTGTGCCCTTCCGCCTGCAAGAGTACGAGAGCTTCTCCACTATCCTGGTGGATGGGCGTTTGGACAGGGAGCAGAGGGACCAGTACAACCTCACCATCCAGGCTAAGGACAATGGGATCCCAACTTTGCAGGCCACCAAATCCTTCACTGTCAAGATCACAGATGAGAATGACAACCACCCTCATTTCTCCAAACCTTACTACCAGGTCATTGTGCAGGAGAACAACACCCCTGGGGCCTACCTCCTTTCAGTTTCTGCAAGGGATCCTGATCTAGGCCTTAACGGCAGCGTCTCCTATCAGATTGTGCCATCCCAAGTCAGGGACATGCCTGTCTTCACCTATGTCTCCATCAACCCAAACTCAGGAGACATCTATGCCTTGAGATCCTTCAACCACGAGCAAACCAAGTCTTTTGAGTTCAAGGTCTTGGCCAAAGACGGAGGCAACCCCTCCTTGCAAAGCAATGCCACTATCCGAGTTATTGTCCTGGATGTCAATGACAACACCCCTGTGATAACCGCTCCTACTCTAGTCAATGGGACTGCAGAAGTTTACATCCCCAGGAATGCTGGGGTTGGCTACTTGGTGACGGTGGTCAAGGCAGATGATTATGATGAAGGGGAGAATGGCAGACTTTCCTATGAGATGGCAGAAGGAGATAGAGGATTTTTCGAGATAGACCAGGTCAATGGTGAAATAAGAACCACCAGAGCATTTGGGGAAAATTCAAAGACTGCCTATGAGCTAATTGTGGTCGCCCACGACCATGGGAAAACATCTCTTTCAGCTTCTGCCTTGATTTTGATATATCTTTCTCCATCCTTGGATGCCCAGGAATCCATAGGATCTGTTAACCTGTCCCTGATTTTTATTATCGCCCTGGGTTCCATTGCTGCCATTCTGTTTGTCACCATGATCTTTGTAGCAGTAAAGTGCAAACGGGATAACAAAGAAATCAGGACCTACAATTGCAGGTAAAGTCTGTCTGTTTCTTGGTACCAGCAAAAAAAAAAAATTAAAAAAAATTTAGTGCCTGGCCTTTATAGCGTGCCATTTAAAACAAAATAAAATTTACTGCAAACCAAAGGAAGGCATCAAGTCGCTCCACATAAAATACCCACGGCCAATTCCTGGCCGACTTTTTTTTTTAAAAATGTGTTCACACACACACACAAATCCCAGTTAGTGAAATGGATCTAATACGATGGCTTGGCACAAATTATCCTTAATCTAAAACAGGCCAGCTGGGATCAGTCTTAAATCTGTACTTCGCCTATCTTTGGAAAGTGTGTGTGTGTAGAAGTCCCACACACATCCCTCCTCCCCAAAAGTACATAAAATGTTAGTACAAGAAAAAGAACAAGGGAAGGGTTGCAGCTGCCTTTTGGCATGTAGGTGTGGATATATGCTTCTATGGAGCTCTGCTCAGGCTTGGATGTGACAAATTGCTGGGGTGTTTTGTTAGGGTGGTTTTTTTGAGAATCACTGGAGTGATTCTCCATGGGGGAAGTTTGGGAGTAGGTGCTGTAGTGATGAATAAACCCATACTCACGGCAGTTGCCACGGGTGGACATTGCTTTTTAAGGGCCTCCTCAATCCTGTCAATAGCCTGTCCCCACCAGATGAGGTCACTGTGGGTGCTTTTTAGAGCTGCACTTGTTTTCTCTGGGAGGTAAGGAACAGGGAGCTGGCAGAACAGGAGATGAAAGAAAGCAAGGTTCAGCTAGAAATGTACCACGGAAGCCTTTTTTAAAATTGTCTTTTTGAGAAAGAGAGAGAGAGAAGGCAAGTGCTTCCTTACACTAGGAAATTGTGCTGCAGGTTTTGCAAAGAGAAAACAACAGCTAAGCCATCTGTTCTACTCTCACCCCGGCAAAAACCCCCGCAACTTTAAGCCCAATTGATTGCTAAGTCAAAAGGTTGTCCATAGCTCTTTCCTGACACTTAAAATAACGCTGTCTTATTTTTGTTACACTTTTGTTCGGTGATCTTTTTAAGTCCGAGATGCGGGGCTCTGCATGAACCCCCCCCCCGCCTGTATTTGAAAGCTTAAGATGTGGATTGAAGTCCCCTGAATATGTAACAGCCAGGCGATTATTGTCTGTCTCTTGCTATTCTCTGTGTTGCACAAGTTAGTAGACAAATGCTAACCGCACATGAATATCAATTGGGCGCCATAAAGGAGCAGCTGCGGCGGCTCATAAATGGTTTAATCCTGTTACGAGCGAAATAGCCGTGACTTCTCCGTTCCTTCAGTCCTAAGTCATTTCTGATGGAAGGGATGGAAATTAATTTTGCCCTCTCTATTGAAACATACAAATGCCTCAGGCAATTTGGAGAATCTGGGAGAATGTGCAGCCTTTTAAAGTTTTATTTATACCGATATAATGATGACTGAGAGCTTGGAGTTTCTCTTTCATTCATTTTTACAATGGGCACCAGGGTTTTGTGTGTGCGCGCACACAGATGCATACATACCTGTGTGTGTACATGTGTGTTAGTGTGTGCACATAGGGAAAATCAGCTGCAAAAATAAACCATTAGATGTACTCTTCTAGGGAGCTACTTGGCTTTTAAATGAGAGCTAATACGCTGAATTTCTTTTCCATCTTGATCCATTAAGCAAGGGCAGGCACTGAACATAAGCAGGAAAAAAGAATTTACAGTTGTGTCAACGCCACTAACAGATTTGCACTTCTGTATAACCAGTTGGTTTAGTGTGATGGCTCAGGGATTAATGAAGTGTGTGTTAATTAAATCATTGGTCAATAGGAGGAAACTGCACCATCACCACCCTCCAATAAGACAGCAGAACAAATGCGTGTAGGCAAAATTTTAGATTCTGCATTTTCAAACTTGAAAGATTTAGGCAAACACAGTTAAGGCATTTTTATGTGTCTGGATCCCCCACACCTGGGGTTTTCGAAAATGTATAGAGATGTACACTGGGAGGAACATTTCTTGACCGGAGTGAGGAACAAACCAGCTCTTTATATAGCCACACCAGAAGAGCTTTGAAAGTGAATGGAGAGAAGCATTCTTGGTGCAACGTATATTTTCCGTGGAAAAGAGCGGAGGGAGGGGTGGAAGGAGATGACGAGTGTCAGGAGCTGGGCAGTGTTCTTTAGTCCCACTGGCTCGGTTCTGATGGCTGCACGTCAGCCTGCTGTGTCTGATTTTCAGACCTCCAGTGTGTTCAATTTGGATTCCTATCTCTCTCTTCCACTTCTTTTTTTTTAAATCAACATCTTCTGACATTCATCTCCTATTACCCTTTCCTTTTCCAGTCCACTGTTCTCTCAGTAATCCATTAACCTTGCCTCTGGGGGAGGGTTCTTTAGTTCAGTGGTAGAATGGAAGCTTTTGCAACATGTAAAAGGCCTGAGGTTTAATCCTTGGTATCCCCAGTCAAGCGATTTCAGGTAGCAGGTGATGGGGAAAAGACTTCTCTTTTTCCTGACATATTAAAAAGCTGCTGCCAAGCAGAATAGCTCATCCTGGGCTAGCTGGCCCACTGGTCTGACTCAGTATGCAGAACTATATGTCCCTTTCTTTTGATATCTTTCCACTACTATCAGGAAATTTACATGATAATACCTTGGGAACAGGCAAACTTTCCTTCCTTCCTTCTTTCCTCCCTTCCATCCTGGGTTGCATTGCTCTTTAAAGTGTCCTATATTTCAGTGAAGCTATATAAACACAAATGTGCCAGGGGAGTTTAATAAAAAGTGCTCTTTCACTCGATTCATGTGATGAGAGGTAAAGATACTTTTTCTGGCTTAGTGTCGTTTGCCACCCTGGTCAAACTCCCCTGCTATCAATTAAGTAAGAATATAAGCAACATCCTTATGTAAGGTGGAAAGATCCTCTCAGGTTACTTCCTCTTGTGGTTTCATCATTACAGTTCCTGGATTTTCAAGCCAGGCAATTCTGAAAGTTAAGTGGACCCCACTTTTGGAAACAAGTATTTTCAGGCCTTGCTTAAAGTTGAACTGATTTCTTTCGGAAGACTGCAGTGCCTGGCATCTTCTCTGCATATCTACATCTGTGTGGCACTGATAACGATACACAGTCCCCAACGGTAATACCAAGCTATGGTTACTTCAATCTAGACTTACTGAGATAACGCTGAATGCGGTCATGTTTTTAATTATTTTTCTGGTCCTTGTTTACTGATAACTCCACTCCTCTGTCTCCCCCACTCTTTACCTTCTTTCCTTGTGTACAAGAGACAAAGCAGACCTACATTCTGTAAACCGATTGAAGGTCAAAAAGATAATTTTCTCCTTCTGAAGCGCAACACCTTTGTCTGCCAAAAAACAAACAAAACAAAAACAGTAGCCAACAGGAATGTTAAGTTTGAAGGGAGCAGGAAAGAGCTGGCATTGGGGAAAAGGTTCTGACTGGCCAGATGCGATGAGGAGAAACGAAACTGAAAAGAAAAGGCAGTCTACAGATGCAATAACATTTTCAAGACGGATGTTGCATCCTGGTCCACAAGTTCACAAAAGCGACTTGCCCACAGAAATGCTTACTGGCCCATCAAACTGCTTTAAAAGGTCATCTGACTTTGTGGCCACTGTTTTACTCACCGCAGGTGACCAGACAAGTGGCTGTTCACAAGTTTGCATTTGATAGTTTTACAACACACCTACAGGGGAGGTCGGGCAAAATGTTTGCGTCAGGTTTATTGCTATTGGAAATCGCAAATAGAACTGCTCCTTTCTCTGCTGGTTTTTTTCTCTCTCCTTACTTTTCACGTTTTATATTAATCCGTTTAAATAACTTTTCAGATCCTTATTACCAATGGAAATGCATTCACTTTTCACTTCATGGATTTTTACATAAATTATTTTCTTCCCTTTTCTGCAGGCTGAACTATATCTCTGGTAACTAGATATCAACAATTCTAAGCAGCAGACAAAGCCAAGGGAACTTTTTGTGTGTGTGTCCTTATTCCTCACTTGTTGTCTTTATGTGTCTGACCAACAAACTTTATGCCTGTGAAAAAATAAAGACCCTCCGTTATCACAAGAGCCAAGTCGATGACCCTGCAGGTGGATGGGCAACCAGTCCTTTGGGATTCTCTGTTGACTAGTATACAGTCTTTTTTTGAGGATGAAGTAAGATACTCACTTTGCTTTCTTGTGTCCTGCAGAATTGCAGAGTACTCCTATGGGCACCAAAAGAAATCGAACAAGAAGAAAAAAATCAGCAAGAATGACATCCGCCTGGTGCCACGGGATGTAGAGGAGACCGATAAAATGAACGTTGTGAGTTGCTCCTCCCTCACGTCATCTCTCAACTACTTTGACTACCACCAGCAGACCTTGCCTCTGGGTTGCCGCCGATCTGAAAGCACTTTCCTCAACGTAGAAAACCAAAACAACAGGAACACGGGGTCCAACCATATCTACCACCACACCTTCACCGGCCAGAGCCCTCAGCAGCCAGATCTCATCATCAATGGGATGCCACTTCCGGAGGTGAGTGTGGAGGGGGTGGGACTTGAGAAATGTTGAGCTTTCCCTCATAAGGGGTGGGGGGCATTGCCTTCATGGTCTGCTTGTGAATGCCCAGCATCATGTGTCTTGACTTTGGTTGGAAGTTGAATGCTGGGTTAGCTGGACCTAGGTTTAGATGGCTTTAACAAATGTTTTGACATATTCATGGAGGACGAGGAAGTCTGCCAATGGTGGCTAGTGATCCTGATGGCAATACAGGACTTCCATATTCATGGTCCTCATAGATCACTTGAGTAATAGCTCTTGGGGATGGATAACAAGGGAGTGCTGTTGGCTCCATGCCATGATTGTGGGCTTCCCAGGCCATCTGAAGACTCAGAAGTCCTTGATCTGAGGCAGAAAGTAGTCCTTAGGTTCTCACTCTATGACATACTTTAGGACTACAGTGATACCTTGGTTTACAACCGTAATCTGTTCCGGAGGTCCGTTTGTGAACCAAAACAGGTTGTAACACAAGGCACGCTTTTGCCAAATGGGGCCTCCAAATTTTTTTTGTTCGTAATAATAAAAAAATGGGTTGTAATTTAAAAAAAGGTTGCAGACCGGGACACGCACTTCCAGGTTTGATGTGTTTGTAATCCAAAACATATGCAAACCAAGACGTATGCAAACCAAGGTACCACTGTACTTGTCTTAAGTGGAGCTGTTGGCGTTGGTTCCTTCCATTAAACCAGGTTTGGAGAACCAATGGCCACCCAGATATTGTTGGACACCAGCTCCCATCAGTCCCAGGAATAATCTGGATTGATGGGAGTTGTAGTCCAGCAGCAGCCACAGTTCAACAGGCTTCCCACCCCTACGTTATGTTGACCCAACAATGTGCATGTGTGCATGTAAAAATAATGTCTAAAGAATTAATTTCGGCTTTATAGTTTGGGGTTTTTTATGTGGCCCATCATCATTGTCTTACTGTGGCTGATCTGGATCTTTTCAGGTGTCACCCTGCAATTTAAACAAGAGCATTTAGCACAGGTTGTGAATGCAGATTGAGCTTTCTTAATTTAAGTAGCGATTGAATGTTGATATTGCATATTGATATTGTATAGTTGGTGGCCAGATGTCACCATGTAAGACTCAGATAGGCATGGTTTTCTCCGGGCTTCTTTTCCTTTCTTCTGTCTTCATGAAACATGGCTGTCCCTGCTAGTGACATCATCATGCTGTCCTCATCCTCTGACTCTGTTTATGAACAGGATGTTAATTCTGACTATGTTAGTTACAAATGCATGGTAAAGGAGAATTGCCTCAACATAAGAAGCATGGGTTTAAAAATAAGTCCATTGCTCCACTGTATTTATTTATTTTAATTTTTATAAATGGAAAGACAAGCTTGGGGTGGGGGGAGAACCCCAAGGTTTGCAGAAGTAAAGAAACATACAAAACCGAAACTCTTAGGGAAAATATCTAAGTCCCTTCAAACAGCCCAATGGTGGGTGATCGCTTCTATTTTGTACATGTTAAGCTATCTCTGTTTTCTTTCACTAATTCAGGCTACTGAACTGTAAGTTTATTGAGATTTGATCAGAAATTCATCCTGTTAACTGATTAAGGTTGCAATCCTGAGCATACTGGCTTGGGAAAAACCTTGATGAACTAAATGGGATTTAGCTCTGAGCTAAAAGGCACTGTCTGGGCAGTGCAAGAAACACGGTTACTCAGCTAAACATCCTTTGATTGATTTGAGCCAGGATGGTACAAGTAACTCGCATCTTACGCTTATTTAACTTATGCAATTGCAGCTTTGCGCAAGGTCCACCACTGATGGGAAACTGCCAGAGTTCTCAGAAGGCAGTGGGAGCGCCTCCTTCCCAAAGCTGAGCAAGCACTCAGCGGGTTTTGAGAAGGCAGCACCAGGCTTTGGGAAGGTGGTGAGAGGACTCTGGGACCAGAGCCCTCAAACTGCCTTCCCAAGGCAAAACAAGCACGGCCTTTGTAAAGTTGGCACTGGGTTTTGGGAAGGGAGCAGAAGGGTGCATGGGCACTTCCAGAGTAAGGCATGCCATTTTAGGGGGCAAAACTTAACTTTTGCAAATTTATTTAGTGAAGTGTCTTAAAAATAAGTTTTTGGGGTGTGATGAATTCAAATCTGCCATTGTTTTTGTGATTGGAGAGCGTTAGCTTTGATCAGTCTACGTTTGATGGAGGAGCACACAAACTGCTTTCAGAAAACCAAAGATTTTAATTTTACCTTCTGAAAATGTCAGATAATGTGAAATAATAATAATAATAATAATAATAATAATAATAATAATATGTATCGTAACCACGAGTACTTGGCAATCATTTTTAATGATTTCTGTGCAATCTTACAAACATATTACTTACCAGGCAGAACTAATTTGTATTAATTTAACCAAAATACCTTGAATTCCCAAGTCATTTTCAGCATCTCTCACCTTTGGAATTTGAAAGCTAAAAACTAAACACGCCCTACTGCCAGAGCCTTCACTGCCTTGCCAAATGCAGGCAAGCAGATTTTGGGAAGGTTAAACCAGACTTTGGGGAGGGCTCTGGGACATTACACCTTCTTCCCTAGCAAGCACCCTGAGCTCTCACCCTCTACAGGCTTTGGGAAGGCAGCGGGAGGTCTCATGGCAGAGGCAGTTTTGGGGTGACACACTTTGGGTTTGCCTGCACTTGGTGCCACACTGCAGGGGGTGCCTCAACAACGCAGTAGAACAGAGCATGAGAAGTGTTGCACAGGGCGCTGCTGAAATTTGAGAGCTTGAAGTCCACGACTGCAAGAGCCCTGATACCGCCCTCCCAAAGCCATGCTAGTGCTCAGTAGGGTTTGGGAAGGCGGATCTGGGCTTTGTGAAGGATGCGGGCTGTGCTCCCCGGACTTTGATTGTGGGAGGGCTCAGGGACACGGCCAGAGCCCTTGCCCCACCATTTCAAAGCCAGGCAAATATTCAGCGGGCTTTGGAGGGTGGCAGAAAGGCATTTGGTGCTTGCCAGAGCTCCTGCACATACCAGCCGCAAGCACTCACTGGGTTTTGGGAAGTCAGCAGGAGGGCTCTGGCATGAGCTCCCATGCTGCCATTTCAAAGCCAGGCGACTAGAGCTTTCGGACCTCCTTTCCAAAATGGGGCAAGCACTCAGAGGGCATTGGGAAAGCTGGCAGAAAGGCTCTTGGATGCGGGCAAAGTTCTCACACTCATGAGGCTTTGCACTCATTGGACTTTGGGAAGTGCTGCCTTCCCAAAGCCAAGCAAGTGCTCCGCAGGGTTTGGGAAGATGGTGGAAGGGTTTTGGGACTCTGCTAGAGCTCTTAGACCAGAACCCTTGTGCTGCCTTCCAAAAGCCAGGCAAGCTCTCAGCAGTTTTGATAAGGTGGCACTGGGCTTTAAGAAGGCAGCAGGCTGTGGGAAGCTGGCACAGCCCTTGTACCACCATTTCAAAGCTAGGTAAGTGCTCAGCAGGCTTTGGGAAGGTGGCAAGAAGGCTATGGGATGCCCTCACACCTCCTTTCCAAAGTTGAGTAAGCAGCCTTCTTATGTGTGGCCCAGTTCCGGTGGTTGCTGGTTCTACACATTTTTGTGTATATATGTGGACCCACAGAACCAAACTCTCAGGCAAAATGTGAATCACCTGTATAGTGCTTGGACTGTTTTACTCAGGAGTCCTGGGTTTGAGTCCTTTCTCAGCCAGGCCAATCATGCTCTATCTCACACAGGAGCATAGCAAGCTGTCTTCTACTGAGGACATTGCTTCATCTAGTTCGGTATTGTCCACACTGACTGGCAGCCGTAGCTTTCCAGGGTTTCTTGCAGGTGTCTCTCCCAGCCTTACCTGGAGACTGAATTGGGGACCTTCTGCATGCAAAGCAGATGCTCTGCCACATAGCATGTCTGGGGAAACCCAGCCAGATGGGCGGGGTAGAAATAAATTATTATTATTATTATTATTATTATTATTATTATTAAGAAAGGATGTGACTACATGTGCAGTGTCTCAAACACATTGGGAGGAGTTGGGATGCAAATTTCAATACTTAAAGCTGCTATAAATAAGGTATTATAAAATCCAAATGAAATTCAAGAGCCTCGTGGTTTGATTACAGGGTTACTTAGGTGAGCATCAGCACTACTTGACGGAACGGGCAGAGCTTTTTCAAATCACAAAGTCGGAAGGGGCATCATGAAGGTCATCGACCTAGTCCCTTGCTCGATCTAAACTTGCGGACAGCTTCCAGTTGAAGCTGAATAACGGAAGATTCTGAAACGACAAAGGAAACTTCTTTTCACATCGCGTAGTTAAGCAGTGGCATTTGCTCCCGCAAGGGGCAGTGACAACCACCAACTTGGGTGGCTTTCAAAGAGGGCTAGATAAATTTGCGGAGGATAAAGCTACCAGTGGCTACTGGTCCTGATAGCTGTGTTCTGCCTCCACTGTCAGAGGGCAGTAGTGCTTCTGAATGCCAGTTGTCGGAAACCACAGGCGAGGATAGTACTCTTGGGCTCACATCCTGCCCATGGGCTTCCCCAAGGGCTGGCCAAAGTGTTAACAGGATACTGGACTAGATGAGCTTCTTATGTTCCTAGGAACTGCAATGCAGGCTGCAGCTCAAACATCCCTGGCAAATGGCTGCCTGGCCATTTGAATGCTCTTTCAGCATAGGAGAACCTATCACTTCCTGAGGCAGCTCTTTGCATTAGGAAATTTCTTCTCCCGATGAGCTGAAGCCACCCAGAGTAGCTGGGGAAACCCAGCCAGATGGGTGGGGTATAAATAATAAAATTATTATGAAGCCTGTTTCTCTGCAATCTCCAGCTCTTGGTTCTTGTCGTGCCCTGTTGAGCAGCTGAGGGAGCTTTCCCTTTATATAATGGCTTGCTTCCAGATAGAAGGACCATTGCTCTAGTGAGTGGATCACACAGATTTGTACGTAGCAGGCTCCAGGTTCAACCTGTGCCACCTCCACTTAAAATGATCAGACAGGAGAGAATCGGAGAGATGCTCTTTTGCTTGAGGGTCCTGGAGAGCTGCTGTCAGTCAGAGTAGAAAACTCTGGGCTAGGTGGAGAAATAGTCCTCTCTTGGATCAGGCAGCTCCCTACGTTCCACCATGATGATTACGTCATTGGTGGCTGGTGTCCATTGGTACTGGTGGGGAGGAAGGCAGGGAGCCCGAGCAGTCAATGACAAGCAGATCCAGCTAATTGTAGTTGTGACCCCCATCTTCTTCCCTGATGGATCTTACACTGAGACTAAGGGGGGGGGGAGCTGACAGGTTGTGCTGCCACACCCTTGACTGGTTGTAGGTAAGGAGGCAGGCAAATGAGGGCTAGCTGGACTGAGGTTGGTGGAATAATGGACCAGTCACCATTGGTGCATCAGGTGTCTCTAACACATCACATAAAAAAGGAAGAAAAGTATGAAAGCCGTTGCGGATTTCAGTGAAATGAAGCCAATTTCCCCGAGGGTGATTTTCCTACATCTGTCCTTTTTATATTTGAACGATGAAATGTCTTATTATTATTTTCCTTGCTTCCCCCCTTCTTGGGAGGGGAGAAAACACCCACATGCTGTGAAACAGTGAAGCTTTTATCATGAGATAAGCCATTTTCTTCGCTGCTAGGAGAACGAAATGCACATGGATTTGTGCTCACAACCCTTCTGTTGGGCATCCTTGACTAACGCTGGTTTGTTGCTCTTTGAATTATTATTTGGTATTAAGTAAAACAATCAAAGGTTTTGTCATGTTTCCTGCTTTAAACAGAATAACAAAGCTGAGAAGCTGTTGAAATATTTATGACCTGCTCCGCTCCGCTCTTTGTTTTTTGTCTTTTTTGGTAAATGCAGGTGACTATGGATTTACTTCTTTGTAAGCAGGTACACTGATGATGACTTTAGTTTTTGGGGGGTGATGAGCCCAATCCAGAGATTTATCACAGGCAATGTCTGCCCGATTTCTGGTGGGAAGAAGTTCCATAGAGTTGGTCCCACTACACTGATGACACAACTCTTGGTCCTTGCATAATTCCTCTGTAAAGGCAGATACAGTAGTTCTTTCACCCCTTCACTCTGGCACCAACAGCAGCAAAATCACTCCCCTTTATGCCCTTTAACTGCTGTCTCCTCTACATAGATGCCTAAGGACAGGTCTGATAAAGCTTCTGCTGTTGTCCAAGGAGCCCCTTGCCTGTGTTTTGTCTGACATGAGGTTGAGTCAGATGATGGAGCAAATGCTGTTGGCCAAGGGCTGCCCATGTGGTGACTTCAAGATATTGTTGGGACCACAATTCCCACTAGTCAGGGATGATGGAAGCTGTAGTACTTTTGAAGGTCAACATGTCTGCTTTTTCTGCTGTTGGCCCGTCAGCCCTTAAACAGTCATGGCTTCCCCCAAGGAATTCTGAGAGCTGGAGTTTGATAAGGATGCTGAGAGTTGCCAGGAGACCCCTGTTCCCCTCACAGAGCTACAATTCCCAAAGTAGTTTAATAATAAATCCCCCTTCCTAGGGAACACTGTGCATGAGGGTCATAGAGGTCTCATAATTCTCAGCACCCTTAACAAATCTCAGGATTCTTTGTGAGATGCCATGTCTGTTTAATGTAGTATCAAAGTGCTTTATGGTGTGAATGTGGCCATAAATCCTTTAATTCAGGCATGGGGCATATTAGGCAGGCTTTGCAGTTTCAAACATTTTTAGCTTTGTTTAGTAAATAAAATAGATGTGCTAAATTAGAGCACTCCCTAAGGCATCAGAAAAATTTTCCAATGCAAATTAACCTATGCAAACCTAACTTGCATAGGCTGTTTTTTCCCCAATTGTTCAGCCTCTTGGCACCAGGTATATCAGACCAGTGACTCAGGCTCTGAACATCTGATATATCAGAGGCAGATGGATTGCATGCAGGTGCAGGCCGAAGTCAGGCCAGGTGTCAGGCAGTCTGTCTCAGCACAGAAAGAAAGCCAAGCTCTCCCAGCAGCTGCAAGTTGCTAGGTTGCTGGTCTTGCAGTCCATTGGGATTAACAGATTAGCCCTTGGACATCACCTTACTTTCCTGCATTGCAGAGTGTTAGACTAGATGATCCTCAAGGTCCCTTCCAACTCTACAGTTCTAGGATTTTCCAGGTTAGGGCAGGGGGTGTCATGGGATGCTGTAGCACTCACTCTGCTAGGATGGCCTGGATTTGTTCCCTCTGCTGACTGGTTGACCCGGTGGCACTATGGGAGGTTGCCTTGGTGGTAACCATCATTATTTTTGCGGGGGTTTAAAGAAAAGGAGAGATAGAATGTGTGTATTTATGAGAACCAGCTGCCAAAGAAGACAAAGTTCTTTTGTCTTAATATTTTGCATGGAACAGGAGCAGCAAATACAGTGCCCTCCATATGTTGTTGGACTGCGGCTGCCATCATTCCCAACCATTGGCCATTCTGGTTGGGATTGATGGGAGTCTGACACCTTCTCTACGCAGCTTTTTGCAAATGCAAGGGACACGCTTCTTTGCCCTTGCTATTGATGGCTGAGATGCATGTTTTGAAGACCCACCCTATGGCTGTGACTGATTTAGTTGTTTTTTAATACTGCATTTTGAATTGTTTGTTTCCTGCCTGGGACCTGCTGGTGAAGGGTGGGTACCATCACCACCATCACCACCACCATATAAAAAGTTGCCCTGATATGATTTGAAGAGCACTACTACAACACAACACACATATCTTTCTCTGGGTCTGCACTGCAGTGTGGACATTCACAAACCATGCTTTGTGGTTAGATCTATTTCTAGAAGAGCCAAAGTAGCACGTTGTTTTCCAGCATCCGTCAGGGCAAATGGGGCACTGTCCCGCCAACCCCAGCCTGCCCTCAGCCACCCCACTCCCAGCTGCTTGCCTTCTTCCTCACATACAACCCTAGGGGTGGCATTGCCTGCCAGCTTCCCACAGTTGCCTTTGTAGAACTCAGGCAGAAAATGGGAACAAACTTAGAATGAGTTGGCTGTGCCTGTCATCGGCTCTGGCTCCACCTACTGTTGGCCTCCTGCCCTGCCTGTCCCAATGGGCACCATCCTCTGCTGCTGTTTTCTGTTCCCTGGGAGGCTTAGGAGAAACAGCGCTGATACCTTGAGAGGAATGCTGTTTTCCATCCCTCCGCTCCAACAGAGCTTTTATGCTTTCGCTGGTTGCATATGTGACCACAGGTTTGTTTGCATATGGATTGGAGATGGAGATTAAAGCATCCAGATAAGCACCGGGATAAATCAACAAGGTTTTACCTTGTTTTAAAAAAACAAAACCCAACAGCTATGAATTTCCCGTAAACCCTTCACTTCCCTCCTTTGCCTCTCTTTCTGTGGCTAGGTGTGCACAGTCCCTCAGGTAAGATGGCAGTAGACCTCAACTGCAGGCTGTGATGGGCTCTTAGAAAGCTCCCGCCTGTCCCACATAGGTGTTATGTTCCGGAATGATCAGGAAGGTTTGGAACCCAGGTTGGTGGGAAGGGATGTAACTAGGTGGTAGGGCATCTGGTTAACATGCAGAAGGTCCTGGGTTCAATCCCTGGCATCTCCAGGGAAGGGCTGGAAATGCCCCATCTGAAATCCCAGAGAGCTGCTGCCAGTCTGTGTAGACAGCACTGAGCTTGATGGACTTAGTGGTCAGACGTGGTTCGAGGTAACTTTCTGTGTTCTTAGCAGGGAGGATCTGTAACCATGGGGTCTAAGAAGCTTGGTGATAGAGCATCTGCTCTGCATGCAGAAAGTCTCAGATTCTATCCCTGGCATGTCCAGGTTGGGCTGAAAGGGTCCCCTGTCTGGAATCCTAGACAGTCATAATCAGCCAGTGTGGACTGTAGTGAGCTGGATGAACCAGCAGCCAGAGTCAGTGTGAGGCATTTTCTATGTCCCTAAGCTGTTTGTGCACCTACTTCAGAGGGAGAGGGGAAAATGTGTCTCTTTATGCTTGGTTCTTTCCTCACCTCTCCCCCTAAGAACTACCTTCTCCGCCCTGGCAATCATTCCCCATACCTGTTGCCATTACTTTCCCCACTATTTCCTCTGGCTTATGAATTTTTCCCTAGCTCTGCATCTTTGTTTTGGGAACTGCGGCATATAAATAAGACCACAATAAGAGCCCTGATGGATCACGCCAGGAGCCCATTTACTCCAGTGTTCTGCTCTCGCAGTGGCCAACCAGATGCCTGTAGGAAGCCCATAAGCAGGACTTGAATGCAAGAGCATTACTCTCCCTTCTTGTTGTTTCAAGCAACGGGTGGTGGAGGTAGCTGGGCATGCAACTGTTAAAAACGCAGGAGGTGGTGATGGTAGTGGCATCGGCGTCAAGTGTGATACTCCTGGGCAGAAACGGTAGGGTAGAATGTCCTTTTTTTCCAAAAAGCAATGTCCTCTATCCTTCATTACTTAATGCAATTTGTGATAATTGCTGTTTTTCTGCTTGGTGGGTCTGCAAAACAAAGAGGAACAGCAGTAGTTTAATCCCCACTGAGGTGGTCTCTCAGTTGAAGTTAATGTGGGAGTAGACTGGTATTAAAAGGCAGGTGTGAGCATGCTCATCTGAGCGTTAAAGTAAGCACTGTTGCGTGGTTATAGAGCTAGCATAGCAGAGTGGCATAGGAACCAACTCCACTTACTTGGGAGTAAGCTTCAATATAATGTTCTCCCGAGTGAGCATGGTTAGGACTGCACTGTAAGAGAATTATCTGCAGTGCGTACTTTCTGCCTGCTTTCTACTGGCTTAAGTGTCATGGTTTTCCAGTGCTGGACCGGATCATAGTTTGATGAGCAGTTCTGAGAATTCTGTTAAGGATCCCTGGGCTCTTCAGAAAAGCCCCAGTTCCCAGTGCTCCCAGGACAGTGGGGATGATGATCAAACCAGTTTAAGGCTGTTGTCCTGACCCTTCTTGCATGACAGCAAGCCCCATTGAATTCAATAGGACTTACTTCTGGGTAGATATGGTTAGGCTCACCAACAGAGTAAGTTGAGGGGCTTTGGTTGAAATCTCACCTGAACTGGGTTGAAATCATTAGGGGGTTTTATGCCAGCCGGTATGTCACCTGGCACCCATGGGCAACTGCCAGGGTCCACTGGAGTTGCCGCTCTATGTGCCTTTCTATAGGCTTATCTGACTGCTGTGGTGGGAAGTAGCTTACCTTTGTGATTCTCCTACAATACCTTGAAAATAATACTCATTTTAATATGGCTCTGTAGCATCTGGGGATGCCCATGACTGGGGTGGGGAGTGGGGAGTAGTTGACGAGGAGACCGAGCGGGCAGAGATGGGATGGGAGACAGGAATGAGTCCACCACTGGGCACTTTGCTGGAGGCCCCCTCGAACTCATTCCCCAGCAACATGGGAAGATATCACCACCCACACCTGTACAGGAGTTTTTGAAGAACAGCCGAGATGAAAAGAGGCACTGAGTGCTCATGCTGAGTTGAGATTTCTGCCCCTTTCCCTACTCTGACTACATTTTCCATAGCTTTCTCTGTTTCGATTATGTTGTGCCAAGTTCCACCCTAGAAAGCTCCAAACTCGCACAGTCTTGGCCTTTTCAAGGTTACCTACTCCGAGTTGGTGCCAAGGTAACTTCTGCATCATTGCACAAATGCCCAGAGCCAATAGTGAGTGCAACAGCCTGTAGCTGCTGGGAGTGAGGGAGTGTCTAAAATGCAATTAACAGAGTATAGCAGATGTAATATAGCACCGTTCCAGAGAATTAAAGCTCTGTTTCGCTGCCGGTGTTGATATGAAAACCATAATGTGGTTTTTCCAACTACACATGAATGGCATTGACCTGTGAATAATATCGGTTGCTGTTATATTAGTTGTTGTGTCAGTCCTGGATTCAGATTATATATACTTCACAACTGTATTGGGCAAAAAACACAGCAAGCTTTTGAGTTGCACAGAATCCTTCAGGTGGGATTAAGAAGAGGAAAACCAAACTGTGTATAAATAGAACAGGAGAAGCTTATGCGTGTGTTCTAACTGCAGAACTTCAAGGCACTACCACCAACACTGAGTGGTTTTGCGATGTGTAAATCTAATGGATTCAACACCCAATCCAACTATTTTTCCTTGGAAGTGTGTCCCCTCAGTTTTAACAGGGTTTGGATCATTTAGAGATGACCTGCGTATGCAGCAGGGTCACACAGCACAACTGTATTTGGCCTATATGCCAGAAGTCAACATGTTCTCGGGAGCACACGATTAAATGTATTTCTGATTTTCTGTGAAAAATGCTCCCTGCACCTTTGCAAATTATAACGTTGGGAGAAGAGTTCTAAGTCAGCTTTCTCTTATACATACAACTTTTCCATTGGCATAAAGACCTTTTTCTTCTTCTTCTTCCATGGGAGAGCATTTAGAGGTGCGACATCATCTGCCTGCAGCCTGTTGTGGCATAGACCAGGCAGAGTGGGATTGCGAGATTCTCTTGCATGTGTAGATGACATGCTTTGCACATGCTAGCATGTTTACGACCACAGCCTGAGTTGTTTAAAAACCAGAAGTTGATTCCCAAATTGATTCAAAATCTGTAATTGATTGATAACACTGGGAAGTGGTCACTCTCATCGGGGTTTTAAGCATGTTCAAGTAACTGTTTGCATGAATGCTGTCAAAAGTAACATAAAATGGCATCTCCTGGATTCTAAGACTCAGCTACACAGCTGCAAATAAAACGTTTTAAATGTGTTGTAAAGTGCAGTGTACAAATGTGACACTAGATGGTGACAGGGAGCTATGCCAAATTCAATATATTTTTCAAAACTTTTTTTTTTAAAAGCATATTCACAGCATATTTTTTTTTTGTATGTGTGTAGATTCCACCCTTGTCTGTAAGAATATTGAAGTCACTGGTTCTGGTCTCTTTTGGTGTAGGCTTCTTCCCTTCTCCACAGGCCATACCTCTGAGTGTGCCCTCCGCTGCTCTGTGCCCTCCTCAAGTGCCCTTGCCTGGCAGGATAGTGTCCTTGAGTAGAATAACACTTTTTGCTTGCCTGGACAGCCAGGGGTGTTTGCTTGTAGGAACTTCAGATTTTTGGGTGGGTGCATGTCGCCTACTGCACAAAGGTAAGAATCTCATCTGTTTTTGCCTCTTGCTCCACCCACTACAAGGGAATGTGACCCTTGGGTTGGAAAAGATTCCTGGGCCCTGCTCTAGTCTCTGGTTCTGAAAATTTAGGGTGCACTTAGACGTGGAGATTATTGTGTTGCTCTTCCTAGTTATAATGCTAGTGCATCTGACCTGGTTTGCTGCATTGCCTTGACACTGCATTGCTTGCTGTGCTATGGGGCTGTTGTGCTGTTGTTCATTCACACCAGTGGGCATGGTGTGACACAACAGCAGGCGTCAGTGGACATGCCACCACTCCGTATGTGCATGTGCACATCTGTTTCACCCATGAAAAATGTCAGGAAAGAACTTCATGCCAAAATACAGTCCCAGATTTCATCATATAGCATGACACATGAAAATGGTGAGAAAAAGGTGGTGCAGAACTCCTGGGATTTTCCAGGTTAAAGGTAAAGGACCCCTGACCATTAAGTCCAGTCGCGAATGACTCTGGGGTTGCGGCGCTCATCTCGCTTTACTGGTCAAGGGAGCCAGCATTTGTACGCGGACAGTTTTTCCAGGTCATGTAACCAGCATGACTAAGCCACTTCTGGCGAGCCAGAGCAGCGCACGGAAACGCCGTTTACCTTCCCACTGGAGCGGTACCTATTTATCTACTTGCACTTTGACATGCTTTCAAACTGCTAGGTTGGCAGGAGCTGGGACCGAGCAACGGGAGCTCACCCCGTCGCGGGGATTCGAACCCCCGACCTTCCGATTAGCAAGCCCTAGGCTCAGTGGTTTAGACCACAGATTTTCACTGGATCCGGTTAACACAGAAACAAGCACTAAAATTCCATTGGATTCTGCTAGATTCCTGGAAGTGTCTTTTATGTTGGGCGAAAGATCATGAAAAATGCCGAATGCAGGGAAGCATTTGTGAAATGGAGTGAAGTACTGCCTCGATGCAGCCTTCGGAGTGGCAAGCATATACAGTACCTGTGTGTTGCACCAATGTTTCCAAATCATATCTCTTCCTGCCTGGGTCTCGCTTCCCCTCTTCCATGCATCTGATATGGTGGAGAACTGCCTTTCACCTGAATCGCAGCACTTTATCTCATTAATAATAATGATTATTGTTCATTAGCAATTATCTGTTTACAAAGCAGATCATTACGAGGCCCGCCAGGTGGAGATGGTTTTTGTAATTACCACCACTTCCCAGCTAGAATTCAGCTAATAGAACTAGAACAGCTAAGGATAAGAGGGAGAGGCAGAGAAAGAATGAGTGAGAAAGGGAGAGCAGTTTGGGTTCATCCAGCCAGTCTCCCCACAGTGTATTTTCTAGGACTCTGTCCGTTCTTGTTTTAAACGACTGTAGCAGCCGAGCATTGCAGCTTCCCTGGGGAGGCTGTTGAACAACAGACTTATAGATCTGAGTGTCAGGAAGATTTTCCTAATGTTCCCGTTGAACGTGTGACTTTCCCCTTATTGCCATGACGCGAAGGCAAAACATTGTTTGATGTGAGATACGATACAAGGGTAAACATGGTAAGCTTTATATGCCACTTAGCGTTAGATGTTTTGTGTCTGAGTAGCGAGTGGGTGTCTATAAAGAAAAGAAAAGGGGAGAGAGGGGAAAAAAATAAAATAACAGCTATCTGTCTTTATAGCAGGAGAAAGGCTTGGGATTGAATTGAGACCGGGCTGGTCTTTTTAAATCTCTAGGCTCCTTTTTATTTTAACAGTTAAGAATCTTGAAATGAAAAAGTCCCCGAGGATTAGATGTTTGTAAAGATTGCTTCCTGCTCTGCAAAACAGACCTTTCCCATCCTCCCCTTCTTGGAGTAGAATTTCAGATGCTAAGAATGTCAGTGCAAGTATAGATGGGGTATCTGTCATTGGCCCTTACAGGGAAATACCCTCAATTCTCCCTGACTATAACCCCAAATTCTGCGCTGAAGAAAACTGGGATTCTGTGGCCAGAATAAATTATGCAAATGAAACAAATTCGGATTTCTTTCTCTCTACTTGTTCTTCTTATTTTCTCCAGTTTCTCCCCAGTAGTCATACCTATGCAGCACACTGCAGTTCCTCCTTCTGCCAATGCCAAATAAATCTTATGAAGGCTCTTCTCCGGCTTCTGAGATTATGCCGGGCATTTCCTACAGCCTTTCAAAGGGTATGCCTTCTCATTCATACAGGCTAGAGACTTGATTCTCAAAAAAATCAAAAATAAAAAATAAAAAAAATCAAAGGGAGCTGGAAGCCCAAGGAAGCAGAATACTGTGCCCAGAGCCACTTACGTACACTTGGTTAAAACAAGGCAGTCGGTGCCCACAGGCTTGCAGTTTGAAAGTCACAACCCAAAAGGAAAAAGGAACTGGGAAGGAAGAGGAAAACAATTTGAAGTGCTGATTATTATATGCGTTTGCATAATCATCAGTTGGAATGTGAACAGTGCAGTCATACCTCGGGTTGAATATGCTTCGAGTTGAGCGCATTCGAGTTGCGCTCCTTGGCAACCCAGAAGTAACGGAGCGCGTTACTTCCGGGTTTCGCCACTTGCGCATGCGCAGACGCTCGAAATGATGTCACGTGCATGCACAGAAGTGGTGAAAAGCGACACGCACGTGCGCAGACATGTCGTTGCTACTTAGGTTTACTTCTAGATATGAACGGAGCTCCGGAACGGATCCTGTTCGTATCTAGAGGTACCACTGTAAGGGGCAGGAAGTGCCTGATGGGGTTGTTCTTTCAACACAGCTGATGGGGGAAAAATGTCTTGCTTCCCATCTTTTTCATTTAGGCAGCCTCCTAGAATGGCTGCACCCTTGTTTCTTCTTCTTCTTGTTTTTTTTTTTTAACTTAGTTATCTGAAAGCTAAATTAAATGAGATGACAGAAGATCAGTTGCTGAATTTCTTGATCTTCTTTTCTTCTCTTATTTGAAATGATAAATGCAACTGTGACTGTGCCCAATTCAGCCTGGGACCATTGCACTGAAGGAGGAAGAATTTGCTGTTTCTCCCCTTGCCATTTCCTCAGTCCTAGTAATCCACTTGTAACTGCTATGAGCCTTGAGGGGTGAAACAACTCCAGCATCTTTATATAGGGCTGGGAATCATCCTATCTGAGACCCTGGGCAGCTGCTGCCAGCCAGTGTAGGGAACACTGAGCTCAGTAGTCTGAGTCAGATAAGACAGCTTCCTATGTTCATAACCACAAGGTATGACAGAGGTACTCAGTGGTGTTAATTGGAATAAGGGACTGTCTTCTGACTGTCAAAACCCGAGATTTCAATTCTCAGGAAGATTTCATTAAGTTCCTTTGAATGGGGGGGGGGGGAGGACCTTTTCCACCACGTTGATCCAATTTGTAACACGACCATTGTAAAAGCCTAATAAAAATGAATCAACAAAAATTGATTGCACCTTTAATTAAAATTTAAAGGTGAGTTGTGATAATTAAGAGCAATAAATTAAAGGGTACTGCATTGTACACATTTGAATTTAGATGAATTCTCTGTTCTCCGCAGACCGCCAGTCAAAGTGTTCAACAGAATAAACAAAGGCATAGTGTTTTTACGTAGCGTGGAAAGAATGGATTGGCTTCTGGTATGGGCTCTGTAAGGCCAAACCGGCAATACGTTAAATGTGTGCCTGCACTGAATGCGTATGTGTGTTTTAAACAGCAGTTGTGTGTGTCTGTGTCTGGGTGGAGAAGCTGATATAGGTGTGTGAGCAGAATCAGGAACATGGCATTGCTCACTGGGAAGGATTATTTTTCTTCTAATTCTCTAGTTCCAGTGACTTCTTCCCTCTACCTATAGGGATGGAGTGGGGGGTGGGAATTCAGATTAGTTCACATTTAAAGTTGATTCTGCCAGGTCTGTGTTCTTGGAAATAATATGTGAATCAAATCCCAGCCATCCTTTGAAACATGCACTTCTCCGAATTTTGCAATGCAATTCTCCAGTCAAGCAATGTGTACAACAGCGCATGTACCGGAGTATAAAGTGTACATAAAAATCCATATATTAGTAAAAGCAGTGTACAAAAGCACACTATTTTAGTGAAAGTAGCTTTGCAAAAATGTGTACGTTGAGTGAATTTGCATACAAAGAAGTGTACAGGAAGAGAAATTCACAGCAAAATGCTCATAATTTTTCTCAGCCTGATGTGGAAATGTGGAGAATTGAATTTAAGACCGGGAAAGGGGGAAATTGACCAATTTGCTTGTCCCTAACCACCAATATGCTATTCACCCCAGGAAGCATCTGTGTGGAACAAAGCCCTGAAAGACTGGAGAGCAGCTGCCTGCCAGTGTAGACAAGAGGGAACCAGGGAGAACTAATGGCTTGACTTGGTATAAGGCAGTTTCTTACACACTTATGCAGGCAAGCAAACCAATAAAAACTGCTGTAGGTTTATTAGCAAGTTTGTTTCAAGGCCTTACCTTGTTGATAATGGTGTTTGGGACTCTTTAGAATATCCCTTCAATGTTTCACCAAACTGGAATGTCTCCTTGCTGTTGGGGTGTTGAGCATGTCATTGTCATGGCTCACCAAATCTTTTAAAATCCCATTATTTCCCCAGCTATTCACCCGTTACCTCTGTGGACGAGGAGCTTTCTTATCTTAGGAAATTTCAGCCTGTCTTTCTCAGCATAGGAGCATAGGAAAGCTGCCTTATTCTGAGCCAGACCACTGGTTCATCTAGTTCAGTATTGTCCACACCGTTTGGCAGCAGCTCTGCAGAGCTTTAGACACAGAGTCTAAAAATGCTGGGGTTTGAACCCAGGATCTTCAGCTTGCAGATGCTGTACCACTGAGCTATGGTACCACTGAGCGAATGGCATTTTCATTTAGGGAATGCTCCACAATCTCCCTTCTTCCCATTATCTCACTGGGCCTGCCAAAGTTAGCAGTTATTTGCGAGCTACGGAAATGTTATGTGGTTGGAAGCAAGATCAACCTCCGTGCATTTGCTTGTTTGTCTTTTCCGTGCTTGTCAGCTCTCCCTCCCGCTCCCGCAGCTTGTCCTCCCATTCTGTGCCTGTCTTTTTTAAAAAAAATGTCAAAAGTGTCTTCTCTAATCACATTTTTTGTTTGTTTGCGTACTGCAACTTGAGTGAGTGCGCTTCCTCTAATATGCTCAGTTTGTGGAAATCAACTTGTGTCTGGCATGGAGACATTGAAAAACAACAACAAACGGTGCCATTTATAAAAGCTTAGGAGGGGCCAAGTGAGTAGAATGCCAGGCAATTATCATGAGAATAATTGGAAGGGGATTGGGGATGAGTAATGCTGTTTTATAGTGTTTACCACCCTGTCCTTGTCCCTTCTGAACAGACATTTTTCAGTGTACTGTGTTGTTGAAACAGATGTTATCTTAAGAATGGATCATTCAAGCTGGAAGGAAAAGTTTAAATCTATGAAGTGCATGTAAAACATGGCTTCTCTAGCTTGGCTTGCAGATACAATTTCCTGGCTCCTGTTTCTGCACTCAGAGCCTTGCCCAGTCTAATGCTCTGGTCTCACAGAGCAAGGCCAGGTTGGCTGTTTCAGCACGAAGCAGAGATTCCAGTGCGCAACTTTGCTCTGACAGGGGATGGAAGAGAACGGAAGGCCATTCAAGCATCTGCCTCCAGTCCTCTTTCCCCTGTGCTCTGCCCCCTTTTTGGAGAACTGGGGTCCCTTCGACCCTCTGGCCTTAAGAAGGGCACTTACCTTGTGCTCCATGCCTCCTGTCTGGTGTGCTCTCTATGAAGTTGGACTGAGGATGTAGTGTGAGAGACTCCCTGGGCACACGAGAAGGCGACTGTGAGAGTCCTAGGTCTACTCTGGTGCTGTGGGATCTTATACAGAAGGCTCCTGCCTGCCAGACTCTGGTTTGGTTTAACAACTAGCGCCAGGCTCAGAGCTAGGAACTCATCTTCAGTAGAATGTCCCACTTACTACTGGACTTTGGAGTCTCTCCCAGAGATGCAGGGGATTGAACCATGCAAAACAGGTGCTCTACCACTGAGTCACAGCCATTCCTACCCTTTTGAGTAGTCAACTAAATGTGGCTTTCCTCCTGATCTAGATCCTACCTTCTAGGGTGGGCAGGAGCAGAAATGGGAGGCGAACGGCTGACTGTACTGCTAGTTTGCTTTCTCACTCGGCATTTAGTAATTAAATCATTGTAAGTAGCACAGCTCATCTTGTTGGAAGGCTTATTTTGCACAAAAATCTTGGCAAAGCCTGTTTTCTCCTTGGGAGGTCACTGTATCTCATCACTGTTTCTCAAGATTTACAGCAAGCAAGACCTGTGTCCACAGGTCACTTCTCTAATTAGCGAGTCTTTGTTTGCTTCAAGCGGCTGCCGTGATGCTATGTAGTGCTCAAATGTCTGTGTGTGCTTTTGAAAACCTCAAAAAGACAAGTGATGTTTTTAAAAATATCCAGGAGGTGTGTTTGATCCCCCCCCCACTTTCTTTCTTCCTCTTCATGCTTAAATGACAGAAAATCTTTTGCTTGACTGGGATAACATCACATCCTCCTACAGCACTGTGTAAAACTGACTGGTATATAGGCTGTTGAGGAATCAGGGATCTGCCTTGAGCTTTCTGCTTCCTTATGGGGTGGGGATTATTTTTTTTGCAGCCCAATACTTATGTACATACTGATTAGTTAGTTGCAAGGGGGGCAGAGTGGCAGTGGTGTTCCCCACTGGGACTAGAAGGCAGGAAGCCCAAGAGTAGATGGAGGCAGAGCTAACAACAGGCAGAGTCAACTAATTCCAATTTTCTCCCCATGCTCCTCCATGCCTAATTTTACAAGGGCAGTCTCACCACTTGGGCTGATTTTTAGAAATAAGGCACGCAGGTGGGACAGTGCCCCATTTGGCCTTCACTGCTCCCCTGGCTGGCAGTTCAGATTAGAAGCAGGGAAGACATTCAGTTCACATTGGGCAAACCTACGGAATCCTCACTTTTCAAAACAACGCATGAACTGAAACTCATCCATTCTTCAAAATTCACACTTCTTCCAGTTTTGCAGCACAGTTCTCCAGCCAAGAAATGTGCACAACAATAGATATATATTAGGGTACAGTGTGCATTAAAAAAAACCGTATATGTTAGTGAAAATAACACACAAAGCTGTGTTTTATTATGGAAAGTGGCTTTTCAATTTTTTTGGGAGGTATATTAGGCAAAATGGCATGCAAACATATGCATGTTAGCAGAAAATAGCATTATACCCTGCATTTTAACGAGGATGGGTTTTTGGGGGGGTTTTTTTAAATGCAAACTAATGTAGAAATGTGGAGAACTGAATCTAAGACTGGAAAAATCAGAAACAGAGAAATGGTAATTGAGACATTTGCCCATTCCTAGTCCAGATCATGGGCCAGAGTAACTCGTAGGAATAGAAGCTCCCTGCTTGGATGAGATCAAAGGCCCATTGTGACCAACATCCTATTGTCACAGTAGCCAACCAAATGCCTACAGGAAACCCCCAAAGAGGACCTGAATGCTACAGTAATCTACCCACTTGTGATACCCAGCAACTGGTGTTCAGAGGCACACTAAAATAATAATAATTAATAATAATAATAATAATAATAATAATAATAATAATAATTTATTTTTACCCCACCCATCTGACTGGCTTGCCCCAGGGAGGTGGAGCACCATGTAAATGTAAGCTGATGAGCCCTCCCTCTTATTGCTTAACAGCCTGCTAGTGGCTTTTTACATCATTGTAAAAACATTGACTTTTTTTCTATGTGTGTTGGAGACCAGTGCTTATGGAAATTAGGATATTTTGTTGATTCCATTCTAAGGTCAGCCTAAACAAATTAGGGAACTCTTAAGGTAATCACTCTTCATGCTGAATTTCTTGGTAGTGCACATCTCACTTCAGGGAGAAAACAACACTGTTGCGTGCTTGTTTAGTAGTTCATTTCATTGACATTCACTTCACACCTTCTGTTTAGGTAACTGCAGCTAAATCCGCACATATCTTTGATCCAGGGGCAGGTTTCTTTGCTACAGGTGTGGTATCTAGGTAGTCTGTGACCTCACATTCTTCTACTCTGAAGAAACAGAGGGTGGTGTTGAGATGTCTTTTTTTTAAAAAAAAGAAATTATTTATAATTTTCTTGTATATACATTACAACAATTATTCAACCATAATTTTAACATTTCCGATTCCCTTCCCCCTCATTCTGTGGTTCTTTACATTAATTTTTGTCCTTTCCTGCATCCTCCAAATTGTCTTCATTTGGTGTACGAGATGTCTTGATGCTTTGAACTACAGCCTCCATCAACTCCAGCTAGCATCGTTGGGTTCGCTAGGGCTGATGGGAACTGTAGTCCAAAACAAACGGAGGGCTCCAATTGATGAAGGCTGGCCTAGGTAATTGTTGGATAAAGGTCAAGGTGGCTAACAAGCCAAGGTCCATACACTCAATGTTGTTTTTAAGAAAGCAAGATTTCATTTGTATTGCCTGTCTTCAGGTTTGGGGGGCCTCCACCGTCCTTGAGGTCTGCCTCCTGGCAGATGATGATGACACCAGTAATTGGTCATTTGGGCAGAGCTCTGGGACAGTGGCTGACATTCGCATTTGTCTTTGGCTCATTTTGTGACACCTGCATTCCTTACATGCATAGATGCTCACTTCTCAGGATTTCAGTTCCTGATGGTTCTGCCTCATATACTCTGAATGTCCACCAGTAGAAAATTAGTATACTTGTTAGTCTATTGCAAAGGAACTATGATTTCTCTATCAGCTTCTCTGCTGCCCTGTGGCTGGCACACCTCAATAAAGAGTTTTGAACCTCATCACTCTGGAATTTGCTTTGCTTTCTGATGCATATAATAAAACTGCAGAACCTGTAACCCTCCAGATGTTGTTCAATTACAACTCCCATTGTCCCTGACTGTTGGTTGTGGAGATTTGGTGTATGTGTGTGTGAGAGAGAGAGAGAGAGAGAGAGAGAGAGACCCTAGAGAATTCACCATTGCGGGCAGCCCACAAGTAGTAAAATCCTTCCCCACAGATCTACATCTGGTAGCTTTTGGTGAATTTTGAATACACACTTCTTTATCCTGGTCTTTGAGATGTGTGTTTTCAGGACCCACCATGTTCCTTTGATTGTCATCTGCTTATTACTGTTTTTAATTCTGAACTTTTAAGTTGTTGTAACCCACCCTGGGACCTGCTGGGGAAGAGTGATTAACAAGATCATTTAACAAGATCATCAGCAACTGCTTTGAACTCTTTAAAGCAGTGGTTCCCAAACTGCCCCCTGCCCGCCCGACCACTTGGAAATCGCTGAGAGTCCCGGTGGACCATTTCATTGTATGATTTTAAATTTTATTGTATTGTGTCTTATATGTATCTATAGGGACACGGGTGGCGCTGTGGGTTTCCAGCATAGCAGGAAAATGGATAAGCTTGAACATTTCACGCTGATTTGCTAGTTTTCTGCTGTCAGGGATTTTTTAAACTCGGCGGAGGCATTCAACAGCTATATGCCTCAGCTCTGTGTTCAAAGGTATACGGACTGCTTTAACACCTCAGCATTCTACCACCCTATTACCCCCTGCTCCTTCTGCATCTGTGGAGAGAGAGGGAAAGTGTCAGCATATATTTGGGCAAAATCACCACTGAAATGGGAAAACTGCTTTAAAAAATGAGTTTGGGGGTGGGGAGTTGCAGCATTGGCCTGGCAGCATTTTAAATAGCTGAAGATTTGGAGCGAACTAATAGTTTATGTCAGCCAGACAAGTGATTATTACTTGGCCTGAAAGTGATTCTCTGTCTAACGTGGAACTCTTCGGTCCCCGCTAAAG